GTTCTTGGAAGGCATCATATGGTATCTGCTCAAACAATCCCTGCTGATTTGAGTAGTTTGTTAACATGAATGATCAATTTTGATAAAAACTAATATGGAATAAAGGGACCATAATAGGAAAGCGGGAACCATACGAATAGATTGAAATACATAGTCTATCAAAAATAACAAATTTATTACGCCATGTTGAAGTACAAGTTTGTTTTATATCATTTACACTGTAAATTACAGGACGAGCACTAAAAAACAACTATATCTAACTTAATTATGCATGAGAAGCGTTACTAATTATAACTAGAAAGGTAACATTTGCAAGCAAATGCAATATGTTTACCTCAGGATGGTCTTGCCTACGATTTAACGTTATACCTTTATTAGGAAAGGAAAGGAAAGGTAGAAGGATAGTTTGCTTATATTACTGACTTTTATGTGCTGTTTATAGAGTAACATCAACGTTATAACTGGGGAATGTTTTTGCCGTTGTAAGGCCAAGTTTAAAATCTACCCGTCTGCCACTCAAAGATCATTACCATAGACTAGTCTTGTAGTGCCATGTGTAGGAGATACTAAGATATATAAATAGTTACATACCACAGTACCAATGATTCACTCAGCACGCACTCTTACCATGTTTGCAATTAGGCCACAGCATGTAACTTTAATCAATGACATCCTCTGCAGACTGCAAGTAAACTTCTAGTCTTTTTGACAGCTTTAGTTACAAAGGACTTTGCTGCGCTCATCTCACTACCTTATTACATTTTTGTAAATAGGAAACAGGACGTAGGCTGAAATAATAATGATGATAAGTTTATTATTATTACAAATACATGACAGAAGGCTAATTGTAAATACGTATATCATACAAAATGATATACAATGATATGAAGAACTAATTCCTACAGTACACTTTAGTCTTTATACTACAGTACATAAGATATATATCAAGCCAGTTTTGTTGGGTTTTACTTGTTCTTTTGATCGCCGAGCCAGTGAATTATACCCATGGCCACTTCTATAATAATTGTTCTTTGAAATTTTATATGAAAATCATTGCAATGATGATGAAAATCTACAGTTGTGT